GTTCTAAGTTTTGTTACGAACCTGGTCTTTTTCCAAATTCTAACTCTCCAATACAATTTTTTTTTTTTTTACCAAATAGTTGTTGCACCTCTTGCTGCTCTGCGGCTTGGAAATGACCCCTGTGGAAACTGTGCTCAGTGTCACAATACTGTGAAAACTCCTGAGTTCCGACGTCCATGAACAGGAAAAAGATCCTTTGTTAACGGCATTATTACGTCTAATTCTACAAACACAATTTATTCGTTAAAATGTCCCTGTGATAAAGTTTATATTGGCAACACAACAAGACCACTTAAACAAAGGATCAGTGAACATAAGAGTTCAATCAGACGAAAGGACGTGAACTATCCAGTAGGGCTGTAGCGAAGCCTCGACGAAGTCGACGGCTCGATTCTAAAAATTTGTCGACGTCAGATCCGGAAGTCGACGCACCGCGCCCACTTGTTGCATCCCCAGGAGTTTGTAAATAGAGGAGGAATCTGCCCGTTTTTCCTCTAGTTCGCCCTCTTCTCCGCCTTCACTAAAATCTCCGCCAAATACCGAAGACCCGGAACAACGTCCGTCCACTACTAGATTATTTTCCTGTTTTGCCCCTTCGTCTCCCGGCAACGGACAACAACTTCCGGGGTCAGATGCGCTGCTTCGTGTCTATCGCAGATGTAGAAAATCACCGGGAGCGCTTCTCCCTTCATTAAGGAGCTTCTTTCAGACATGAGGAGAGCTGTTTTGGTGGTAGCAGTCTCTCCTCCGTGCTGGTCTGTTTGCTGCTGGGTGTTTTTGGTTTATTTAAACTTGGTAACTTGAACTTAACGTTGGTAAAGCTACTGTTAGCATCTTCGCTAACAGCTTCTTGCGTTTGGATAAGCTGTTACGTTTTGGTTTAGAGTTCATCTTTTTTGTGGTGCAGATCTCCCTTTTATTACATTTAGAGTGTTGTGGGTTTTCGGTTTAGTGTAAAATATCACCTGAGTTTGGTTTAACCCGTAAGACCACTCGCCTCACGCACATAAGTGACCAAAACAAAAAAGCATGGAGACACTCCATCTTCTACCACCTCTCAGGCAGCAGCCTGCACTCCCAAGTTCTACACGTCACCAGAACATAACCAACCGCAACACAATAAAAGCAGTGTTATACAAAATGGAAGGCCTGTAGTGTTTATTCTCTTACAGTAAGAATTTATCAATTTTTTTGAGGAATTTATTTGAGATTTTCTGGTTTTTGTTAATTGTGCAATAGAAAAATAATCATTAGATTAATTTTCTAAATAGTCATTAGAATAGTCGACTATTCGATAAAATAATCGTCAGAATAATCGTTTTAAAAATAATCGTTTACCCCCAGCCCTACTATCCAGTAGCACGTAATAATTTCAATGATTTTTCACATCCTATGTCTTCACTTAGATTCCAGGGGATGGAGCATATTTCATTACACAGAGGAGGCAACATTGATAAAAAACTTTGTCAAAGGGAACTATTCTGGATCTACACTTTAAATACACTTCAACCATTTGATCTTAATGAGGATTTTGAAATGTATTTCTCTAAAAATATATGGTTGGATTATTTTTTATATATATATATATATATTATTGCCTTGCTCCATGATGGCTTTTTTAGCTTGATGCCTGCAATGTGTTAATCTCTTCCTTCCGTAGGTGATTTTGAAGTGTTTTTATAAGATTCTGTAAACTTCTTGTGTCAGTGCACTGCTTTGTAAATGGGACTCCATCCCCCATAATGCTTTGTTGTGTGGAATTAGCACAGGTGTTTTACATCAGCTGTTCTCCTTAACTAGGAACTCTCTGCATGAACACGCACAATTCCTGATGAAGGTCTTTTGATCGAAAGCTTGAGAAGAATAAATATTATGTTATCGCAGATTGAAGTGTGCGGGTTTAGTTCCTCTTCATTCAATCTTTTATCCAGCACCTCAACCCAGATGAGCGGTGTTTCTTCAGTTTTATACACTTATTTGCTAAAATAAATCCCCACTTACTGAATAAAAGTTTGATGGTTCACAACAATCTCTCCAGTTTGACTTGGTGAGTTAGAGATAAAAAGATTTATTACATCACTCGTCTCATCTTCCTCACAACAGAGACCTCCGCCAAGGAGGGTCTTCTTCTGTGGTGCCAGAGAAAGACTGCTCCATACAAGAACGTCAATGTGCAGAACTTCCACATCAGGTAATGCACACGCACACACGCTTAGGTTCTTCCAAGTTATTTATTTATTTTTTTGATCAAATCTCTTGATCGTTAGTGTTTCTGAGACATTTTCTGACTGACGAGTGTTTTTGGGAAGGTTGCTGGAATTTAGTTGTGTACCCTGAGATTTCAAAATCTTGGAAATGAATGCAACGAGACAGTTGAGTGATAAAACATGTTTTTGATTAGCTGAAGTTTCTGAGGAGCTGGATGATCTTTAACAAGCATATAAACAGTATTTGTTCAATTAGAATATTAAATGATAAAGATTTTGCTCAAGGATCATTTTAAATTAAATGTGTTCATAAATGTAATTGCACTAATTGATTGAAGGCGGACTGGGATGTTCTCAATGCTCTTCAAGAATTTAAATTCTCCTCAGATTCTTCTGTAAATGTGTACAAATGCTGCCCCCTGCTGGTTGAATTTGAACCTTTTTCACCTCTAAAGTTGTGGAAATTCTGAAGATGTTTGAGGTGTTGAAAGTGAAATTTTACTAAAAATGTAAGAAGATGCATAGAGCATGCAAAACCTTCATTACTTTAGTTTCGGTAAAAAAAACAACCTAACAGTGATTCGGTTAAGAAAAAGGAAGAAGTTAAAGAAATGAAAAATTTAAATAGTTTTTATAAATTATGTATGCAGGTATTTAACAGCACTCCTCACATCCATATATATGAAAACAACAGTTATGTGTTTACAGTGCCTCCACTGAAGTTTAATTTGTTCCTCCAACAGTTGGAAGGACGGTCTCGCCTTCAACGCTCTGATCCACAGACACAGACCCGATCTCATCGACTACGACAGTCTCAGAAAGGTGAACTGATGCATTGATTAGAAAGAAACATTTTTGTTTAGGTTAACCAGGTTGTAATACTAACGCATGTTGCTGCTGTGATCCATGTAGGATGATCCCGTAACTAACCTAAACAATGCCTTTGAGGTGGCTGAGAAGCACCTGGACATCCCTAAAATGTTGGATGCTGAAGGTAGGCAGAAATGTGTTTTTTGTGTGTGTGTGTGATTCCTTTGATCTGTACAACAATTGAGCAGATTGTAATATTTGTGTTTATTTGCACACAACAGTGTGGCATAAGTGATGCTGAAACTGTATTTAAATCGTTTGAAATCCTGCAGTTTGTGTAAGTTTTTTTTGCAGCACAGTTGTGAACATGTCCTGATGTTCGCTCTGCATGTGACTGTAGCTGCGCTTTGGCCTGGAGCATGATTGCAGCACCATGAGAGTACATTGTAGTGTGTGGATGTGCATGTGAATGAAGCCACTAACTGCACAGCTGTATCTGTTTACATGAGCAGCTGAGAGGCGTCGACTCCACAACCAACGGGTTTTTGTTCTGTCTTTAAATGTTTGTCATGAATTTTAAACTGTTTTCAGGACATATGTATGTTTTTGTGTTTGTGTAATGTTTGCTGTGTATTATTTGTCCTGTATGTGTGTGTGTGTGTGACCACACGTCCTGCCTGCTTATGTGTGTATGTCCTCATAACCATGGTCTCCCCCTCGTAGACATTGTGAACACTGCTCGTCCAGATGAGAAAGCCATAATGACTTATGTGTCCAGTTTCTACCATGCGTTCTCTGGAGCACAGAAGGTACCAGCTGACCTGACCTTTAACCTCCTTTTACTAACGAGGTGCTGCTTCCTGTCCAGCATGGCTTCACTCTCTGCAGCACTGTGCCTCAACAGCAGTACTGGAAATGTTGGGACACACACACACACCCCTGTGGTGATGAAAGCACTAGTAAATGAGTCTGTAGGCCGCAGAAAGCTGCTGCTGTTACCAGATGTTATCGCTGCAGTTCAGATCCTGGTTTTCTTTATATAGAAATGTTTTTAAAAAGTCTGCAAAAGTTATCTCAAGACACATTTTTTCACCATTGTTGTTCAGAGGGCAGCACTACAAAGGGTCATTTCCTAAGATTGAGACTCGGTGTAAGGGACCTTCCCTTGTTAAAAGGTGGATTTCCTCCTTTTCAAAAGAAATGTTTGGATCCACTGTGCTCTCTCCTGTCATTTATTTACTCAAGTGTTTCAAGTGAAAACACAAATTTGTTTTACATTTTGTCAGTTGGCATAAGTTAATTTTCTTGGAAGAAAATACAACATCTGACATTTTGTATTTTTTTACCTGATGCAGTTTGAAGTTAAGCTGATAATGAGCCAGATTCACCTTTAAAGACTGTGTGTGACATCATGTGATCAAGGTGGAGAGTGCAACCACGTGGTCCAACAGCAAATTACATCTGCTTTGCTGCATTAAATTAGCTGTCAAACAGAAAATGGGCTGCTTTGATATGAAAATCTTGTGGCGTTTTGTTAGTGATAGTGGTTTTAATCAGGGAGAGGCCACTTTTGTGGTTTTTGCTACCTTCAAATCTTATTTGCAAGTGTTTAGTCAAAAATTCTCTCCTCCTTTTCCACTTCCTGTCTCGTCTCCCCATAGACTGTTGACAGGAAGCCAGCTGATGTGTCACTTGTTTTGCTCCCTTTCCTCTAATGTTCTGACTCACTCAGAACTTGTTTATGTTGTTTCCCAGTGTAGGGTTTAGGAAATTGAGTGCTTTAAGAGCTCAATAAATATATTACCTCTACTTATGACCAATAAGCTGTGATACTCTATCTAAATATAGAATATCAACCCTGCTTGGTCTTTACTGTGTTTATCAGAAGATTCTACGATTCTTTATTTATTAAGGACTTGTACACACTTCGTTTTGATTCAGAAAAAAGTCAGGTTAATAAAAGTAAGAATTTATTTTACAAACAATTAAAACTGACCAGTTAACTAACATTTACCGTGGTGGATGGATCTCGATGTGATGTATGAACCTATGTGTGAATGCGATGTTATCAGAACTTCTGTATCTAGGAGAGCTGAGTTCTGGATGTAAAAGAATTTGGTTTGCGTTAAGCTAGGAAGTTGATTATTATCAAAAGCACATTAGACGCTATCTGTGTGTCTACTTCACCCGTTCTCGGAGACCCTCTTGGTAGATCCGAAGGTCAGAGGTCGGATGACCTCTGGCACCGAAAGGCTGTAGAATACCGTGGCACCGACTCTTCAGTCCAGAGATGTCTCGGGTCACAACTGATGGATGGAAACGTACGCGTCTGGGACTCTTAAGGAGTCAAAAGAATATCAGCTTGTTCTGCAGGAACTGTTGCGGTATCAGCTTCGCAGGTGCAAAAACATTTTGACGACGTGTCAAAAGCTTTGATTGGTTGAAGAGGGTTTTGCTTCAGATGGCCGGTCTGAAGCGTTCTCTAGAACTGAACCGCTGAGCTGAACTGAACTGATGAATCACCAGAGTGATCCAGTTTTAATGTTCTCATGTTATGATTTGTGTAGCCAACCAGAGGTTTTCAAGTTGAGGAATATTATCAAGACAACTTAGAAACACACTTTCTTTGATCTGGAGGCTCTGATCTGGGGTAAAAAGCTATTTATGTGTCATGAGTTAAACTTAACCTTACTTTGTTCTTGTGTGAGTGCAAATGGTGATGACCTCATCATATTAACATGCTGAAACGTATTTGAATCACTGTAATCATAACATAACATTCATTTCGAACTCATTGAGCACAGATTAATGAAAACATTTCATTATACTATAATTATTATAAGTAGCAATAAACAAACATTTGTTTATTGATTATCTAGCTTATAAGTCTTGGAAGTTCATATTAAATTTAGGAAATCATTCTTTGATTTAGCAACTGATCCGAGCTGCGAGTGTTCCTTATTCAAAGGCATGAAGAATCCTGTTAGACGATAAGGGAAGCTTGGACCTTGAGGAGAGAACATTATTGTTGACAATTTATCTGTGTTCAGAGCTGCAGAGAGGCTCTGAGCTCCAGCTGATGGGATGAAGGCAGGCCAATTTAAAGGGAACACATGCAGTCTCGTGTCTCCTTTTTGACCAGATGTTGAATGGTCAAACTGTACCTAAAAACTGACCATTGCTGGACGTTACACCAGTCTCAGTGGAGATATGTGTGTGCGCGCATGCGTACGTTTGCATTTATGATTAAGTGTGTAGCATTTCATAAAAACCTTTTGCTTATTGAGCTTATGCCACAAAGCATTCGCAGGAGGGGAAGAAAACATGGAACTCCTTTATAATAAATCACAAAAAGAAAAATATGATCTAAATCATTTTGGTGGAGTTTATTTAATTCCTGTTGTAAGTGAAACTTTATTTACACCCCCACTTATCTTTTTTTATTCACTTGTCAAATCATCAGGATTTGTCAGATCTGTAGGTTTAATTTTATTGTTGGATTTCCAAAGAATGAAAGGTGTTGTAGTCGTATTTCAGACAGATTTGACTGGGTTTTGTAAATTGTCAAAAAGGTGGAAATTGGATATATTCAGATTAGCTGTTTAGCATAAAATTCCAAAGTTGTTCAAATGTTTGAATACAGACTCAATAAGCTTCGTTAATCAGCCCATGGGTGTGTGTTTGTGTCCCGATAATAAACTCATGGCTCCTCTGCAGCCTTTCTGATCCTCCTCTCCTGGAGACACAGGACTTACAGGAACAACTAAACGGGGGAGTCCTGACCTCCATTTGCTCCCACATCCTGCAGGGAGCAGGAGAAGTTTTCGCTTTGGGTGTTTGGGCTTCAGCTTGACTCTTCCTGTTTTTCTGCCTGTCTCTTCTCTGCTTGGGGATGTGTAGACATCGTGGGTACTCTGAGGCCGGATGAGAAGGCCATAATGACCTATGTATCCTGCTTCTATCACGCCTTCTCTGGTGCACAGAAGGTGAGCCCTTCAGACTCGCACTAACATCTCAACCGTTCAAAAAAAAAAAAAAAAAAAACCAAGCAAAAAACTTTGATCATAAAGGGTTTCCATCAGATACAGACAGAATAATCAGTTTTTGGAGCAGAATCAAGATATAATAGAGGTGGGTATTTAATGTGTAAATTAGGATTAATTAGAAAAAAGCAATGCGTTAAAAAATTAGTGCTTGAAAAAAATTGCATGGGAGCAAATTGTCTTGTATGATTAAAATGCGAATAATTGAGATTAATTATAAAGACTCTAATTTGATTAACTTTTTAAATTGAGTCCCTTCTTTAATAAGTATACTTCTGAACACTAATTAAGCTTTTTATTTCTAGATACTAAATGAGTGAATCTTAAGATTGACACTCATTTCCTCAGTTATAATTCGTATCCAAAAAATGAACAAAATAAACGATCTTCAGAGCTGGCTTGTGATTAACTGTTGACTTAAAAAACAAACATGCACAGCACAAAACTATAAAAGGGAAAAAAATTACTAACCCACAAGTTAGTACAGAGACCATAAACTAAAAAAGGTCATAAGAATAGGTCACTTCCCATTTTGAACCTTTACTATGACACTTTTTTACTCTTCTCTTCGTAGCTCCGCCCACATTGTCCAGTAAAACTAAACATTTTAAATGGAAGGCTTATTCAAAGATGTTATGCAACAAAAAATGGTCATATTTGTTTTATAATCAACTTTTACATTTACAATTTGTGCAATATTTTAACCATAAATTGGACTACAAACAGTTACTGTAGTGGGCTCCTACATTATTGTTCCCAACAGTCAGCCTGTTGGACCTTTTGAATATTTTCCAGTGAGAGTTAAATTTATGATTTGGATGTTCTTTGTGGTACTTTAGAAACATGATGGAAACTCTGGTGAAGCTAAATCTTTCTGATGCTTCTGTTTTGGGTCTTTGGTCATCAGCTGTGTTTCCCAAACATTGGTGTTCAATCTGATCTGTAAATTTCCGTTCTCATGCTGCTGCTGTTTTTGTTTCGGGGTTCTGCCAAGTATTTATGCAGAACATGAGGTCAACTGGACAGACCCGTTTGGTTTCATCACTGGGAAACACATTTGATGCCTCCAGTTTCTTTTCATCTATTAACACCTTTTAAACCCAAATGTTTTATTATCATGTGAAAAGAATTACATTCTTGTTGTATTTGAGCAGCAGGTGAAAACATAAATTTTTGTTAGTTTTTATGATAATGTTATGGTTTTACTGCAGAAAAATGGAACTAGGATCCAGAGTTATGTACTTGTAACTTGTTTTGTAACATCAAAACTCATCTCAGTAGGGATGCAACGATACCACTTTTTTCCAAACTAATATGACAGCGATTCTTGGATCTGGATACTCGTCGATACCTATTACCGATACTTCTTCCACACACAAAAAATGCAATGAATTGGAATACAGGTTTTATTTTCTTCTCTACTTTCAACAGGAAAAGACTTTGAGGTAGATAAAAAATAAAATATATTAATAGAAATTATCACAAAACTAAACTATTAGGTGAACAGAAATGACAAGTTACAGTGAAGCAACTTTTAAACAACTGCATTGGTATCGGTTCATGGTATCTGTTAACTTTTACCTATACCGATAAAGGTATCTACCAGTATTGGTATCGGTGCATTCCTACATCCCAGAATACGTTACAAAGTGAAAGTCTCATGTTACAAAACAAAAGTTTCATGTTACAAATTGAAAGCTACAAGTCCTAGTCTGGATCCGTTCCTAACAGAATAAACATAATTTGATATATTTGAATTTATGTAGTATAGTAAGAGATGATCATGTGGACTATAATTAGCTTGTCAAAGTGTTTGTTTCTTTACATTTCAGCTGTACCGTAGCATTACTTCATAGGCAGACACACTGATGTGGATCAGCGCTCCATAAACCTGTAACTAGATCTTAATTCATGGTTTTGGTCGGAGACGCATGAAGTTTAAACTGATTTGGCACTTTTAACTAACCACCAGCAGCAGTAGCATGCTTTTATTAATTAAACAAACCATTCTTATGTCCTTATTCAAGTATTTTATGATTTGTAGATTTTAACTGTACACTGCTTGTGTGTGTGGAGTGGTTTTGCACAATTTTTAAGAAATAAAAGCACAAATGCAGTGATACTAATTTAAAAAACCTTTGAGTTGATGTCCGCCGTTTGATATGAGGGATTAAACATGCAGTAGGTGGAATTTGATGAACGCTTTAATCACTGTTGGTTACTCATCATGCTGCTTTCTGATAGGCTGAGACGGCCGCAAATCGTATCTGCAAAGTTCTGGCTGTCAACCAGGAGAACGAGCAGATGATGGAGGACTACGAAAAGCTGGCGAGTGATGTAAGTACCAAGCCCCCCCTTTATCACACTTACATTTAATGAGTTTGTTTAGACATTTTTTTGTTTTCTTCCACCTTAAATCCAGCTGCTGGAGTGGATTCGTCGGACAATCCCCTGGCTGGAGGACAGAACCCAAGAGAAGACCGTAAATGATATGCAGGCAAAACAGGAGGACTTCAGAGACTACCGCACAGTGCACAAACCACCCAAGGTCCTTCAGACTCCTGCAAAAATTATCTTATGAGCATTATCCTTCTGCAGATTTAGCTTTTATAACATCTGTATCACGTTATTAATCTAGAGCTGCTAAAAGCTTTGTGTCCTTTCATTCCTCTGCTCATTCTGACTCATAACTCTCTGATCTTTTGGGATCTTCAGGTTCAGGAGAAATGTCAGCTGGAGATCAGCTTCAACACTCTGCAGACTAAACTGAGACTCAGCAACAGACCAGCCTTCATGCCATCAGAAGGACGCATGGTGTCTGTACGTATGCAAACTATTTATTTAAATAGTATTAAAATAAAATAACCCATCTGCAGATAATCTTTTAAACCATTTATCTGTCTGTGGCTGAATGTAGGTATTTCATTAAAACAAGAATCAGAGTAGGATTTGTATGCCTTTAATGTTTATTATCTATATTAACAAATCTAGGATTTTAGTTTATTTCTATTTAATTGGCAAAAGCTCTTCTTCCTTTCTTAGATTGCATGAATTGAAAATAAACAAGGTGATAAAGCTTGTTTTAGTTGAGTTCAGGTTTTACAAAATGACTCAAATGGTTTTCAGTGGCCAATTTAAAAATGATTTAACAGTAAAGTAAAGTCTGCTGTGTTGCTTTCAGGACATCAACTCGGCGTGGCACACTTTGGAGGGAGCAGAAAAGGGCTACGAGGAGTGGATCCTTAGTGAAATCAGACGTCTGGAGAGACTGGAGCATCTGGCAGAGAAGTTTCACCAAAAGGCAGCCATCCATGAGTCCTGGACGGATGGTAAGCTTCTCATTGTTCGGAATAAGACCACCTTCTCTCCTGAATTCGTGTGATTTTGAGGTTATGTATGGATGTGTGTTGGTTTTATGTTCCCATGTGGATTTGCTTCGTTAAAAAGTGACATCCTTGTTTAGCTCTCGACCACGAAATTAGAATTACTTTAAAATGACTCAGCTTACTGTACTTTGTTATAAAGTAGTCCCAAGTCTAAAATGGCACCTGTGATTTTGTAGATTTACTTATTATTTTCACTTGCAGTCAATATGATTATTAAGGTCACCAAGCAGAATTGAGCCCCCTTCAGGCACGCCATGAAAAACGGAAATGTTCCGGACTCTGGCCGTAAGCCCTTTGTGTCTGAATACAAACATCCGGATAACCTTTTCCGTAATTTAACCGGACGACGCACCTAGTAACAGGTCCGGACTTGTTACGGACAAGGTGGCTGCTTCAGACTGGTGAGGTCGAGTTCCGGACAGGGAGGAGGGGGAGGGGACCGGGGGACGCTGTGTGCACCTAGATTACGTATATATATCACGTGACCGGGAAGGTATATCACGTGATGTCCCTCCTGAGCACAAAGACACAGTGGAAAGAAGGCGAACATCTTCTGCAGAGCATCTCAAACATGTCGAACAATTGGACAGATTCCGAGATTCGCGACCTACTCACGGTGAGGGGAGACATGATAATTATGAAGAGTATTCAAGGTACAGCGCGAGACTCTGTCACCTACGACCGCCTCATAACGAAGTTGCGTGAACTGGGAACGCACCGGAGCGAACAGCAGGCCATATCGAAGCTCAAATCATTAAAGCGTCGATACCACGAGGTATGTGACCACAATAGGAAAAGTGGCAACAACAGGATGGAATGGAGCTACTTTGAGTTATGTGAAAATATATGAGGTTCTCAAAAAACCACAAACCCTGCTGTGGTGTGTGGAAGCATGGCTACAGCTTCCAACTGACCAGAGGACTTCTCTGAGGCCAGCTGCAGCTCCCTTGAGAGGGCCCAAGAAGACGCCATGGACGGCAGCGAGAACCACAGGCCCCAAGTCGCGTCGGACAGTGACTGCTCTTCCATAGCAGGTAAATTTTCACGTTAGCAAGCAGATGCTGTTGTAAGACTGGGTGTGCAGATGTACAGTTTGTAGCTATAAAAATGTTAATTGCAGACAACTAAGACCTAAACAGCAGGCTTTTAACTTCTGGTATCTAAACTGCTCCTACTGATCACGTGATGAGAAAAGTGCTGGGTGACTTTTTTGAGTTACGTGCACATTGGGGGTTATAGTTATTGGAAAACTCACCAAAAATTATAGGACATACATTAAGTGTCCCATTTTGAACATATATTTTGTTACTATATCTGAGTTGAGTTTAAATGTTTGCCTTTGTGGTAAACCTGTATTGCACCAAATTCAGATAATCACCCCACTGCACAAAATACCTTGAAACACTAAAGCATATATGTGACACTGTCTCTTTTTCAATAGGGCCATCATGCAGCACCCCATCGCAGCCGGCATCCAGCACTCCAACGCCAAAAAAGGGAGAGACAAGTCATCCCACACAGAATGTAGTGAGGCTTTGCACTGGATGGACGAGAGAAGCCATCAGCGTGACCGAGAATTAATGCAGGAGCAGAGGGAGTTTGAAAAGCATTATCTTCGTGAAAACTTAGCGTTGGGGCAACAAGAAGCAGCTACATTCAAAGATGTAACATCTTTGATGCGTGAACTTGTGAACAGGTTCACTCAGCCGCAGCACGAATGGATGCCGGGCCCAAACTACCACAATTTGTAGTTCATTGCCTGGGAAGTTGTCCCTCCACCTTCAGACTCTGGCTGAAGTAACATTCTGACCTGCAGAGCTCCATCAGTGCAGACTGCTGCACCCCACGTACTCCATCTGGAGACCGTTACATTTCAGTTTAATTTTCAAATTTTTTGACACCTTTTTTAACTTTTGCCATTTGTATAATCTACTAAAATGAGGTTTTATTTTTGTTTGTTTTTTAATACAAGCCTTAAATATCAGTCAGTAAATATTTTTGGGGGGATATTGAGTTTTAAATTTTTTTGGCATGTTTTGCATTTTAATTAATCTTCTTTTACTTGAAGTGACAGATTTTGCACAACAAAATTTATAACTCCGTTTGCAGTGTCTGTTTTACTTTTTTGCTTGGCAAATAAAAACCTTTTTGGGTATAATTATGATTGCATTCTGATCCATGTGAAGAATGGTTAACACTGTTAAAAGTTTGATGCTTTTTAATTAGAGGAAGCTGACATAGTTACAATCCCAAAATGTATAACACAGTTTTGGACAAGAAGCACAATCACTTTGAAATGCAGTTAAAGTACAGGCATGATTGCCTCTCGAATTAGCTGTGCCCCTCCAACTGGAGGTACATACACAGCTTCTGCATTAGGTTCAGGTAGTTCAGTGGCATCAGTATTCCAGTCAGCAAGGTAATTGTCTTTGTTGATCTCACAGACATTGTGAAGAATACAACAAGCAATCACAATGTCCGGCATAATGTGAATGTCCACATCACAACGCTTGGCCAGACACTTCCAGCGCCCCTTAAGCCGCCCAAATGCATTTTCAACAACCATCCGAGCAGAGCTTAAACGATAGTTGAAGGTGCTTTGTTCAGGCGTCAGACGATGGTGTTGTGTGAACCCCTTCATCAGCCACTTCTTCAGTGGATATGCCGCATCCCCGATCAGATGAACCGGTACCTCTACACCATTGATGTCTCTGGACATCTAGAAGGACAGAAAACAAAGATTAGGTGTGTGTGTGTGTAAATTTATGGGCCATTCTCATCTGTACCTGGTCGGCCCGGCCCAGATGGCATAGCTTGCTTACATATCTTGGTGGCCTGCCTTTTTTCAGGATGCAACGAGACTCTTTTTCAGCCCTCTTTCTGAAGTGGTCTGCTTCAGGCTGACCAGGGCCAACACACCCACTGCTGACTGATAAGCCAGTCAGCAAATTCACACCTTCCATTAGAGCAAGCCTGTGATTGGTGGGTAGAATCAGCCCACATTGGCTTAAGGCATGCTCAATTCATTATCATGCTGATTACTTAGAAACTGAAAATGTCTCTGACCGCATTCCTTGCATACCCAAGCAAGGATGTGTGGAATCAACCGGGTCAGGCTGGGGCCAACTGGAGCTATCCGGGCAGGGCCGACCAGGTACAGATGGGAATGAGGCATTAGAGGTTGAGGCATACCTCACGGGGAACAGGTAGCCGTCTTGTTGTTCGGCTTTGATGAAGATGGTAGAGTTGCTGAGTACTCTGGCGTCATGTGTTCGACCAGGCCAACCAACATAAACATCTGTGAAACTGAACAAAGCATTTCGTTAGTGCTGCAACATAACAGCCCCAGACAACAAAGGGACGCATAAAATGTATATTTGCTCTTGACAGCAACATAGAAATTCATGCTCTCACAAAAGCAGTCTTACCAGAAACGGTGGTCAACAACAGCCTGTAGAACAATGGGATGCCAGCCTTTTCTGTTGTGATATGAAGCTGATTGGAATGTGGCTTCCATCTATAGCTCCACCACACATTGGGTAGCCGCATGCAGCTAATCCATCCAGTGTGAGCTGTAGCTGGTCCTGCTTTGGTAATGAAATGAAACTTTCTAGCAAACAGTCGTTCAGAGCACTTGTCACCTCCCGCAAAAATACACAGACAGCGGACATACCAACACCAAACAGGCAGCTTATGGTTCTGTATTCGCTCGGTGTGGCATACCACCAGATAACAACGGCTAGCCTGAGGGAAGGTTCGTAAGGCCTGCGCCAGTTTGTAGTTTTCCGTGTTAAAACAGGCCTAACCAAACTTAACAGGTAGTTGAAGGTCCTGCGAGACATTCGAAAATGTTGATACTACTTCTCATCTCCAAAGTTTTTCAACGCGTTTGACCAGAAAACTTCGCCACTTGGTCGTCAATGTTTCCATATACGCCGGATCGCTGTCTCCTGCAGCATGCGGCGAACCATGGCAGCTCGCCTCCTACGGTACCGTCTCCTAGACGCGCGACGGAGCGCTTCACACCGCTTCCGTGATTCCTTTATTATCAATTGAGCTTCGTCATCCAGGTCTCTAATGCGTCTTCGTGTGCGCAGAATTATGCTTAATATAAGTCCGATCAGTGAGAGGAATTCTAGCTCTTCGCCGGCCATGTTTGACTGAATAGCTTTGTTTGGGGAAATGACGCATGTACGCCCGCCGCACTTTGTTTACGCAATATCCGGGTACAGCCTTCCCGCCCCCTCCCCCTCAGACATCTGGAACTTTTCCCTGCTGTGTGAAGGCAGCCGAAAGGACAAGTTCTGGTACAAAAGTGGTGTGTCTGAAAACACAGTTCCGGTTAAAAACCGGATTGAATTGTCCACACATATTCCAGCATGTCTATCTGAAAAATTGATCCCATTCACTTACATTGTTTAATGCTAAGCTAAAGCTATAGGGGTTGTGCCAGATCAGGAGAATGACTGGGCTGATTACAAATAGTTGTTTCCCTACTTATCAATCTATGGGGAATATAGCAACGGACAACATTTAATTTTGAAAATTGTTTTCTAAAGGGCCTCAAGATAAAAATCACAAGACACTTATAACACACACACGCACGCACACACACACGCACACACACACACACACACACACACACACACACACACACACACACACACACACACACACACACACCACACACACACACCACACACACCACACACACACCACACACACACACACACACACACACACACACACACACACACACACTTTGGGGTGAATATCTCTTTAAAAGATATTCACAAGATGTATGCTATGAAGTTACTGCATTTGAATTGTATTTATTTATAGCCTATAGCTATAGATTTCTCTTTGCCGAGCAGATGGGTGAAGATTTCAAATTGTTGAGTTTCACTCTTGTTTATACTCCAAAGGGACACTTTGGGACAACTCCTTCACTTTCCAACAATCTTTATTATTCCAGTTTAGTGATTATCAGGTTGCTAACCTTCAAAGAACAGAGACAAGTGTTAAACATCACATAATTTATACAAAATACAATAAACAAAGAACTTCCTAAACTAAATCTTCCTACACTAACAGTGTAAATGAATAAATTCAAACATGACTGAATCACTAAAATTCAATCAATACATCAAGGTTTCAATCTTTTTAAAAAGGGAAATGAAAGCATCAAGTGTAACGATGACCATGGCAAATCATATGTCTACATGCTTGAAAACACCTGTATTTAATCAAACCCATAAGCAACATGACTTTAGTGGTCAACTTAAACAACTTCACATCATAAACAAAATAATATTCACCAACCATTGGCGTTTTTAGAGTCAACTCATGAGTAGAGCTTGCTTGCTTGTTGTACCTTGTTTGAGAACAGAACCCCCACCATCTTTGCCCAGGTGTTTTTCATCACCAATCGGTGGCCATTTTGGTGGTGCTTTCTGGGGGATGTTGCTCTCAGTGGCGGTTGAGCACTATCACCTCCAATTGTTCAGTTTTAACTCAACACAAATCGTGTTTCATTTTGTTTTATTAAACTCGTCATTTGTTTTATTCATGACGAACCTGTCAGGTTCAGATCCAGTTGGTTAGTTGACAGCGTGAAACTTCATCACATGTGCAGGTAAAGAGGCCATGTTGACACAAAAAGACTACGAGACCTCCACCCTGTCAGAAGTGAAGGCGTTGCTACGGAAACACGAGGCCTTTGAGAGCGACCTGGCTGCCCATCAGGACAGAGTGGAGCAGATTGCTGCTATCGCGCAGGAACTCAAGTGAGCTGGAGGAGAAGTGTCTCAGCGGGATGGTATGAGATGAGAGGTTTCGTGTCTCTGTAACACGCTGTCTGGTCTTGTTGTACAGTGAACTGGATTACTACGACGCCGCCAGCGTCAATGCCCGCTGTCAGAAGATCTGTGACCAGTGGGACACTCTGGGAACTCTGACCCACAACCGCAAAGACTCACTGGAGGTATGACTCGCTCCAATTCAGTCCGTTATCAGAGTGACGATGATAAATTACATGCAAACAGCCTCTGACGTAGCCTGACTTAACCACATAATTTAATGAACTGCAGGAGATAAACTATTCTTTCCTGCCTGATCAGATTTTTATCATCAAGTTTTATAGTTGAATCTCCTCAGACCAAAATTTTATATCCCTTACTTTAAAAATATAAACTAGATCATAAAATTAGGCTGTTTTTCTGCACAAGTAAAGAAATGGGTTTCATAATCTTTCTAGTGCTTGATCTAATTTGTTGTTTTTCCAAATAAAACAGTAGCATCAGCCAAATATTAAGTCTGTGGCTGATTTATCTTTGTTTCTTTGTTCACAGAGAACAGAGAAGCAGCTAGAGTCGATAGATGAGCTCTACCTAGAGTACGCCAAGAGAGCAGCGCCTTTCAACAACTGGATGGAGGGAGCCATGGAGGACCTGCAGGATATGTTCATCGTTCATAACATTGATGAAATCCAGGTGATTAGAACTCTGTCGGAATGATTGAGAACATCAAAATCTGAATTATTTTCATGTGATGAGATCGATTGTTGACATCATCAGAATGATGTCTGAGACGGACCAATGCAAACATGTTTTTCCTCGTCCTTCAGGGTCTGATCACGGCCCACGAGCAGTTCAAAGCCACCCTGCCTGAGGCCAACAAGGAGCGCGAGGCCATCCAGTCCATCCAAGCTGAGGTGCAGAAGATCGCCCAGAGCAACGGCATCAAACTGAGCGGAGCCAACCCCTACACCACCATCACACCCGAGAGCATCGACAACAAATGGGAAAAGGTGAGCTGCTAACAGCGAGGCTAAAAGATAAAGTGGTTTTGGTGTTTAAATCTAAACAGGAAGTAAAGGATGAGCGAAGAAAGGATCTATCTGATTTTGTTAGGTCTATTTATAATCTGCATATTTTTCTTACTTTTGTGATGTTTCTGAATCAGAGGATTTTTAATTTATTTGTAAAAACTATTTGCTTCTAATAAGGAGAAAGAAGTACAAATATTTAACAATATAAACAAATTTTTACAATATTAAATCAACTTGGGAGAAAATGTGTTTTAGGGTCTGCTTTTGAAACAGACTTTTTTTTTAGCACATCTAAGTAGGAAACTCAATCATAACTGATTTTTGTTTCATCCTAAATTTTGGGTTTTAAAAGTCTGTTTGAAGAGAATTCAGTGGAGGAGGAAGTTGGGCCTTTCAGAGTTATTAAAAAGGGAATTTCTTTTTTTGTTTTTTTGACTTTAGTACACTGCTGCTATAATCTTGGCCAGGACATCTTTGCTAAGAGATGTTCTAATCTGAACTGATTTTCTTCCTGGTTAAAAACAGATTAAATTAAATGAAAACAAAAATAGATGTTTACTGACATTTTAGTTTTCTTTTTAATTTTTAAACAAATGTAGGCAAACAGGACACAATAAAAACATGGAGGTAAAATCAAATCAAAACAGCATTGATTCAGATGATTTATCCCATTTTCCCCAATTGGTTACCAATAGTTCCTCCCTCAATTGAATTATTTTGGGATTTAATCTCTCTATTTCCTGTAGTTTTGTGTTATTTTCACCCAGACATTTTAGTTTTCATTTACATAATCTGCAACAATCTGAAAAGTTTAGAGTTCTTTGCTGTTTCCTGTAAAAAGTGCATTATTGAAATTTAGTCAACAAAAAAATAAAGTGATCCCTACAGAACCAGTTTAGAGGATTTTTTAGATAATGTTTTTGTACAAAATTAACAAACTGAAGGCATATCCTGGTTTTTGACTCATACATTTGGAGGAACTAATACCTACAAAATAATAACGAGTAATATATTGATTTTGTCTAACTGTTAGGGACAGCAGTAGCTCAGGATGTAGAGCGGATTGCCCAGTAATCAGAAGGTTGCAGGTTAGATCCCGGCTCCAACCAGATAATGATTTGCCTGCTGGTGGTGGTCAGAGGCGAGGCATGTGTTCTGCAGTTTCGTCTCTGTCAGTACCCCCCCCCCCCAGCTGTGGCTACATTGTAGCTCATCAACGAAGTGTGAATGGGTGAATGATTGATTGTGTGGTGAAACACCTTTGGGGGCTGTAGAACGCTAAGAAGGTGCTATACAAATACAGGCTATTTACCAAGTGTTTTGAGTATGAAGGTGTGTGTTTTTATTTATTTTTTTAATTTCTTTTGTGTTCGCAGGCGATGGCCATGGTGCCACAACGAGATAAAGCCCTGCAGGGAGAGCTGAACAAACAGAACTCCAACGACACCCTGAGAGCCACATTCGCCACTCAGGCCAACGCTGTCGGCGCCTACATTCAGGCCAAGATGGAGGTAACGGTGTTCATCCGTGTGTTGAAGCTCTTCTGTCAGCTATTTATCACATTTTACACAAACGGTATAAAGTTGTGAGCTCAAAAATAAAAAGTTAATGCTAGGAAGAAAATATTTCATAAAGCAGTTTCTCGTGAAGTGCAAACCCATTAGTAATGCTCGGCATAACGGTATAAAGTACAGGTGATAAATGTAGCCACCTGTAGAGATTTAGACTCAACCAGCCAGCCGCGATTGTGCATGAATGTTGTTGAGCTCTGTGAACTCTAAGTGAAAGCAGCGTCTGCTGGAGCAGTGTGGAGCGGGTGGATGACGAAGTGCTTCTGAAGTTCTGCTGCAATCTTATCGTCTACTTGAGTGTTCAAAAACATTAATTTTGACGTGAAGAAAAGAAGAACTATACGTGTCATATTCACGTGTGCCTCAAACAATATTGTGTTTAAGATTTCAGGCAAAGTTAACCAACATGGATAGTAAATGCTCTGTTTGCTTTGGTAGGAGATTGGCAGGATATCCATTGAGATGAACGGCACTCTTGAGGATCAGCTGACCCACCTGAAGGAGTACCAGCAGACCATCATGTCCTACATGCCTGAGATCAACAAGCTGGAGGGACACCATCAGCACATCCAGGAGGCCCTCATCTTCGACAACCAGTACACGTCCTACACCATGGAGGTAAGCTAAAACAGTCACAGATAAAGTCAGATTGGCTTTTTTTTTTTTTTTTGCAGAGCTCAGAATTAATGTTTTACAATGAAGGTGTTGAATTTATTAAACATGCGTCCTTTGCCTTGCAGCACCTCCGTGTTGGTTGGGAGCAGCTGCTGACCACGATTGCCAGAACCATCAACGAGGTGGAGAACCAGATCCTGACACGTGACGCCAAGGGAATCAGCCAGGAGCAGCTGTACGAGTACCGTGCCTCCTTCAACCACTTTGATAAGGTCAGGGGCCCAAACACGCTCAATCCCTTATTTCACCGCATTGTTGCCAGGCCATTTGGAAATCTTGTGACACCACTGACATGAATGCTTTCAGTGTGTTAGACCTAAAGTTGACGAGCCTATCAAAAACAAGTAAACGCTTAAAGAAAATGTCTTGTTTTATTTTCATCTGTTAAGCGTAACAACCCTTTAGAAGCTTTTAAATATCAACAAGCATCATCAGCTCTTGAAGGTTTCTGGATAAAAATCAGACGCCTTGTTTTTAAATATATCTTCATTTGAGATGTTTACGTAGCTGAAAACTGTCTGGAGGCGGCAGGTTGGGATGCAGGAAGTAGAATTTGCACTGAAACAAGCTGGTTAGGTTAAATATATTTGGAACCACTGTTGGTAATCCTGTGTAACCTTACAGTAATTTCAATACAAGTGAGTAGAAAGCAACAAACCCCATCCAAGTGTCTGCCATTTTCTGATTTCTTACTGCATTTTATCAGTGTTTTGAAAATCATCCGACCTTACAAAATACTTTTTTGACCACAGAAAAAAATTATTTTTAGTATATGTTGGTCCTTTTTTCTACTGTGAATATTGTAGAACAGGAGCTTTTGCACTTGAAACCGTGTCTCTGAAAATCTAAAGTTTCTTTTCATCGCTCTCTTATTAAACATTATTTGATTATGGAGTTGCTACCTTGGAGGTATTCAACCCACACTGTAAGAAATTAAATGTTGACTTTATATGAAGTTACTTCATATGGTTCCACTAAACCTTGTTGCTTGTTATACTTTGTTAAAACTAAATGTGTATTACTCTTTACATCTGAGCAACTAGGTTTCCATTTACTTAACTTAAAGTAAATTCAACATTTAATTTCTTTCAGTGAATTCATGCAGCAAAATGCCTTTATTTTTTTATTTAACAGCAAAGTAAGTTATTTCTTTTTGTGGTTGTTGGTAAAACTGATCTGGAAGCTTGTAAAAATGAAGAGACCACCATCATTTATCTTATGTGTTTACATCAACAGCTCTCTGAACACACACTTTTTTCTGTGGTGAAATTAAATTTATTTTTTCCATGAAATCATCATAGCCACCTGGAGCCGAGTACTGTAGTGTGTTTGTGTGGACATTGTCTAAACATCCATGAATGTCTGTCCCTGTGTCCTCCATGTCTCCATCCTCCTCACGCATGCTGTGGATCATTCCTCCATCCCTTGGCTCATCCTCATGATGTGGTGCGCTGTCATTTATGGGTGTTTGACCTCAGGATCGCGGCGGGGCTCTGCAGCCTGAGGAGTTCAAGGCCTGTTTGATCAGTTTGGGCTACGATGTGGAGAACGACAAGACGGTAGGAGCACCAGGATGGAGGACGAGCTGCTGTTCATCAGGCCTCTGAGCAGGAGCGCTCCAATCGCTGACGGGACAATAAAAAAAATTTTTTAGGTTAATTATTGACTTATTTTCTCAGTTTTCTTCCTGTGAGCCTTTAAAAAAATTAATGCACACGAGATCGATTTTCCTTTATAAGTAAGATATAAAATCTTAAATTTTTGTTGATTTTAGGGAACTGTAATAATTAAACGAAGTCTGATCAGAGGTCAGTTAGTTCTCCTGCTCCAAGTCTCCTGATGAACTCAGACGGGATATGTCCCATCAGCATGGAGACCAGGGAGGGCTGTTATGTCCCTGTTTGTCCACTAGGGGACTCTGTCTTCAACAGGTTTCTGGTTGTGCTGAGTCAGCGCTCTCTGAGCCGACACCGCTTCGCTCATGTTTCTGTTTGGTTTTATGTTCCTGTGGGACTTTCTCTGTTAACTGTCTCTGTTTTATTTTGTTTATCTTTCTCACCACCCTGGCCATTCTCACTCACTTTCTCTTCTTTTTATCTGTTTTCCTGTTCATCACCCTTTCTCTTTCTGCCGAATCCTCTCATTCCTCTCTTCTGACTCTGCATTTGTGGCTTCACCCCCCTCCTCCGGTCTTTGCTGTGCTGTGGCGGTCTGCAGAAGCGATCAGGGCAGATGGTTTCAGATGATTTCCGGGCTCTACTCATTTCTACGGGAAACAACCTGGTACTGCTTCTGGCGTGAAGCTCCTCCCAGTGTCTGCAGGTCAAAGAAAGACATGTGAAGCTGCCAAATGTGATAACTTAAATGAAGGATCCTATTTGGCTTTGACTGATATTACTTTTACTCATGAACAAAATTTGTTAATTTAAATTGTCATATCTGTACCTGCAGACACTTTTCTCTTTTTCCTACCCTTTTGCTGCTTTTCTCATCAGTTTTGTTCTTCTAGCGATGACAGCTAGCCTAAGTTAGACCTAGGTGTTTGTCTTGTCCCTGTCATCTGTCGTCGTCTCCCTAACCTGCTGCCAATCCGTGTCTGTGTGCATGTCTAAAACGAAAAATATCACAACTTCTGTTTATCAGCTCAGTCTTTTTAACGGAAGTTCTGATGTTTGACTCACTCAGTAGATTGTCATGTTCTGTGTGCATCTGAGTGCAACGTTTTTTGGGTTAACCTGTAGCTTCTCGGTTGCCAGGGTGATGGAGAGTTTAATCGCATCATGGGAATCGTGGACCCCAATGGCACCGGCAGCGTCACCTTCCAGGCCTTCATCGACTTCATGTCCACGGAAACGACAGACACGGACAGCGCCGATCAGGTCATCGCCTCCTTCAAGATCCTGGCTGGTGATAAGGTGAGTGTGAGCAAAAAAATGTATTCAAACAAAGAAAGATTTAATCCAAACGGTAAACGTGTGACCTGCAGCAGTGTTGAGTGTTTGACGAGATTTTCTCACGTTCTTTTAGGTTGTCCTTTGTAACAAATGTAGACTTTGGCTACTTTCAATTGGGGTTTTAAAACTCCACCACTTAAGTCGTTTTTACAAAACAATGCCGTCAATTTGCCGCAACGCTGAAGTGGCATCAGGCAGCCTTAAGTCGTTTAAGTGCTCAGACCTTGGCGGTAATGTTGCACAATCGTGTCCTTTTCACAAAAGATTATGGCGGCATAAAAGGGGCCATAGGGGTAGTCTCTGCACTGCCGCAGACATCCGTTGAACTGGGATATAACTTGCTTTTTAATGCGCTCATTCATTTTTTTTCATAAGCTGCACCTTAAGGTGTCTGTATCCCAGAGTCCCTGTGCAGCCTCTGGTGATATGGCCTCCAGCTCTAACAGAGAAAAACTCCAGGAGCGCTGCGTTGCTCCAGATTATCATCGCAGCTGATTCTGTTTACAAAATCGAAACTTACGGCCTGTTTTTTACTTTGATTTTCAATATGGTAGCCAGCCAGAGTTCGGCAGTAACTCCCCATGTGATCATGACACTTCCCTCCCGTTTATAAGACAGACAGTTATGGCAGTTAAACTACCAAGCGAGGCGGAATGATCGCCGCAAAATTCACACTTCTACATGCTGGCATGGCGGGTTGTGGTGACATTACGGCGATTTGCCGGCATGCTGTCTTATAAAAAGGGCTTTAGTCTACCAGCCTTGGACAGCAGATTGAAGTTCGTGGCTTGTTGAAAGGGGTGCAGGAGAAAATAAATCCTCACTCCTCCTCTTCGGTTCCCTAACCATGGTGATTGTTCATCGCTCACCGTGATGTTTCTGTTTCCATTAGAACTTCATCACTGCAGAGGAGCTGAGGCGGGAGCTCCCCCCAGACCAGGCGGAGTACTGCATCGCCCGCATGGCGCCCTACACAGGACCCGACGCCGCTCCCGGCGCCCTCGACTATATGTCCTTCTCCACCGCTCTGTATGGAGAGAGTGACCTGTAGGGGAGGGGATGCGTGGGTGAAGGGGGCACACCTGGAATCCAGCATTGTGTTGGAAGGTGCCCCTGAATGTGCTGGATTAGAAACTATTGGAATAATAATCCCTGACCCTCAGCTGTTTAAACATGACGGTTAATACAAACAGGCACATTCAGGGGCAGCAAGGGGTGGGGGGGCATTACGGGTTCTTAGCTTCACCCTCTACTCCTGTGAGGGGTCAAACAGGGGAGGGGCAGCTTCTAGGACTGGAGTCTGAGGGGTGGGCACATGCCAATCTGATACTTATGCTAATTTTTTGTTTATTATATTTTTTTCTTCTTGCCAGTGTGTGTGTGGGGGGGAGGGGGGTGTAATGTGGCACCTGGCAAGGTTTGTGTATTAGATTCTAGAGAGATATATGCTGTGGGGGTCAAGCAGGTTGGTGGGAGGGGGAGTTCTTTGACCAACCTGGAAACAAAAAGAACATTTTTTACCCATAATCCCCATGTTGCTAGATCAGGCGACCTGTCTCACATACTCTTTTCCTCCCCCCCGTCTTTATTTCCTTTGTACTTTCTGGAGCAGGTGGGTGGGAGGGAGGGAGGGAGGGGGCTCAGCGCTGTACAGACTTTTTTTTTCAGTGCGAGAAACGACACACGAACAGTCCTAGTCAGTAAAGAGGAATATGGGTTTCCAGTGTGCAGAGCAGAATTTATGAATAAAATAATAAAGCAGAAACTCGGAGTCAGTGATGTACACGGAGCAGTTTTTTTTCAGGTTTTATCAGCAGATATGTTTGAGCTTTTATATGTGTTTGTTCTTTTTAACTAAGAAAAACACTTGGTCATGAGCGGAAGTTAGGAGACCATATCTGAAGTCTTGGTGATGGGCAGCAGCAGTTTTACAAACTTTTCTTCTATGAAACTTTTCATTTCAGCTTAGTGCATTTAAATCCAAAACTAGTAACTTATAAAAAAAAAAGGTAAACTTGACAAAATTAAGTATACTTCTGATTGAAGATGCTCACTTTAACAGCCGTGGACATTTCCCCAGGCAAGTTTTTGTAAAACGTAATAAAGTCCTAAAACGTGCCTGTCTGTAGACGCAGTCCTGTTCCTCCGTTTTCACTTTCTCCTTACCTCACTACTCCATTCGTTTTGTTGTTTCAAGGGAATGCAAACTAAAGAAGGGAGGAAAATTGGTGAATTTTTATGTGAACATTCCATAATGATGAAGAAATAAAATAAAGAGAAAAAAGCTATGCAATCATGTTGTGAATATTCTGTTGAGTTCTTTTAGGAATTGATCAGCCCCTTTCTGAATACATTTCCAGTCCAAATTAAACAGAAAAAGTGATTTCCTCATTTGTTGATCGTTGATGGGAGTCGAGGGGGGAGGCAGCGAGAGGAGGGCCGACAGACGGGAAAGGAAGTGAGAAGAAAAGACTCGGACCAAAATATGACCTTTTTTTTTTCAATTTCTCCCTATTCTTCCCTGAGATGTTGGACTTAAATGAACTCTGAAATTGATTTTTTTCTTCTTTTTTTGTACTCTTTAATAAACCTTATCTGCTGTACTGGAAACTGCTACGCCTTCTATCTAATGAAAAGTGAATTTCACAAAGCACACATAAAGTTTCCTTATAAAATCCTCTGCTTGTCTTGATGTCTTTTTTTCCCTCTGGTTTGTTTCATTCACTTCAAACATACTGTGGAAATAGGACTGAGCTTTATGGACCAAAGCTGAATATATGCCATATATGAATCTCAATATTTTTCTTCTCGTAAAGTATATACAAAAATGTTTGACCTATAATTTAATAAAATAATTTTAATCCATATGTGGCAACTAGTTTTCCGATTTGTGAAAAACCGAACATTGTCGCTCAATTAGTGTAACATTTTTAAATGCCATTTTTACAAAGTTTGGTCAGATTTAATGTTGACGTAGTGTAGTATAACTATTAGGTCATTTAAAGGTGCAATATGTATATTTAATGGTGTAAAAAAAGTAAGGTCTCAGTCATGTTGCTGAGATATTAAAAAATGGTTTCAGCTTAAACCTACAGCCATCATCAGAGTTGTGCTGATGTTGCTGGCGTCGCTTCCTTCTCCCTTTATCTGCAGGCAGCAGAGGACAAATGACAAGAACAGCTACTCTTCTCTGTGTTTTAAAAGAACCAAGCAATGCAAGATGGCTCAATGCACTGAATGAACCTACAGAAGATGCTCTACAAGAATATTCAATGCAGCAAAATAAACTCACACCTAACAAGCAGCAGGCTAGAAGGAGCCGGTCTCGTCTGTATTGGTTGTGCTAAATGTCAAGAGTTGGTATGTCTGGCTCCTGCTAGCTTGCTGCTTCATATTTCTCTTTCCTGTTTGTATGGAGAGACCAGACATCCGCTACGGGGGCTTCAGTGGCCAAAATACCTCAGGACTTACGTGGAGCATTCCCTACTTGCTCATACAAACCAATGCTGTTTTCATCCAGCTAAAGCCTGGTTCATGCTTCTCCGCAAGAGAGAGACACGCACGGATTGACGGAAGCGTTTTGCTCTCATACTTCTCCGTCTCCTGGGGAGTGTTGCAAAGCAATTCCCCGGCAGGACAACAGAGGACGTAGCGCTGTTCTGTGGTATCCTGTCATGTATCCGGTCCAAGATAGTGTGTTTATATTATGTTTTTTTGTATATAAGAGACTTTTTAACACGAACATATTTGTCTCTCATTCTCCTCCACCTCTTCATGCACTCGCCACCTCTAAACCCACGTTTCCTGTCATTTCTGTCCACAAAACGCTTGCTGCGCATCTGTTCACTCCTCCAGTCACGGGGAATGAAACATTCATGTTTTTAGAGTTTTTTCGCGAGGTATTCTTCAAGCTGCTCTGTGTCTGCCGTTAGTTATCCTCAGCTCTCTTTATGTTTTTAAGGGCGCAATGGCGGCGGTGTAGACGACAGCGGTGTCCTGACCAATCACAAGCTTGCATTGTCTGTCTCGACTGATGGATGTTTAGAAAAGAGAGCTCGACTTCGTCCATCCTTGCAGAGCTCTCCAGCAGGCCCGCAAGGACGTTGCGTGTCTCCGTACTGACGCAGACGGAGAAGCATGAATCAGGCTTTAGCCTCCACAACAAGAACACTTTGCTGCTTGACCCGTGTGCACATAATATGTTGTCATTCAATTAGCAAATCATATTTTTTAACTGGGCAAGAAAAAAATTACCATTATCGTAAACTATATGATATGGCCCACCTCTTGCTGAGGCCTGCTTTTTTTTCTTTTTTATAAAGTCTGCAGTACCTATATTTAAACACAAGATGCCATTCTAACTTCATGCACCTTTAACCCTCCCACTGTCCTAATGGGTGTGACCCCGCGAAGAAAGTTGACCATTGAGCAGGGTTGATGGTTTGTCCCTTGGGTCCACGTGGCAGGGGTGAGGAGTGAGCACCACCTCACCCCTGCCATGTGGACCTCAAGGGATAAACCATCAATCCTGCTCAATGGTCAACTTTCCTCGCGGGGTCACCCATAAAGACAGTGGGAGGGTTAAACATTTCTCACTACTTGGGATTTTTGTATTTTAAGTCTAATGTTATAATTTTCACAATTTTTAGTCATTAAAACGTCCTGTATTCTGACTAGATGGGCTGACTGTAGATGCACAGGAGAGACTGCTGTGACCAGCAGATGGCGCTCTGGTCCTGAGGTAGCTTAGAAAGCTTATCTCCAAAAAGTGAGAGCTGGGGGGATCTCCAAGGGCAGCTACAGAGAAAAGATCATTAAACTGTCCATGCTGCTGATGCTCTTCAGATAGAGTTCCTGATACAGAGAACTGACTTGGAGCACCAGAAGGTCTGATGCCTGATTTGGATTGTGACTGATATGATGGTATTTAAATGTACAGATTTGGAGAAACAGATGTTGCAGAGAGCGTGTTTGTCTTGGTCTTGGGGCTGAAAGTAAAGTGCTCCATTGAGCCCATGACTAATAACCAAGAGATGGCCTTCAGGTCACACACACAATCTACAGGAACAGATGGACACACACTCATACACACAATAACTGCATCGTGGGAATAATCTATTATTCATCCAGTTTAATCCATACATTTCCCCTCAGTGAGTCTTGTTCTGGAGACACGGTGGAGACAATGAGATTCCTAGTACAGTAAAGCACACTGACTAATGTATGGCGTGAACACGATTAATGATGTGCTTTTTTTCTTTTTTAAACAAAAACGAGTGATTTACAAAAGCTATTGAAAGTTTTCTCAAACTATATAAATTTGCATCAAAAAGCGAAATTAAATCTATATTTAAAACACAAATTGACATTCAATTGATCTTTTGCACCAGCCAGAACAAATGGTCACGAAGAGTCAAAGTTCACTTGAGGGCATGTTGAGATCAGCTGCGTTATGTTTTGGAAAATCATGTGTATTAGCTCACCTGTTCATTTTGAATTCAACCACATTCAAGATGGCCATCTTAGCAAACAATCACACACATGAAATGCTTTCACTCAGGCGGTTTTAAACATTTATCTAAAATTTAGTAGCTGAAAAAGACCCTCAGCCATCAATATAATTAAACATAGAGGATGTATCTTTGCCTTTGTCTTTTGTTGAACTTCAAACCATAATATCCTAAAATGGTAAAGAAGCTTATTTTTTAAACCAACACACAAACATCACCCTGGTGTGTGTGAGAGAGAGAGAGTGAGAAAGATCTGGTGTAATTGTGTCATCAGGACTTTGGATTTTTCTGCAGCAGAAGTTTGAGGCAGAGTTCAAGTTTTTTTTAATTGTGTGTGTGTGTGTGTGAGAGAGAGAGAGAGAGAGAGAGAGAGAGAGAGAGAGAGAGAGAGAGAGAGAGAGAGAGAGAGAGAGAGAGAGAGTGAGAGAGATCTGGTGTAATTGTGTCATCAGGACTTTGGATTTTTCTGCAGCAGAAGTTTGAGGCAGAGTTCAAGTTTTTTTTAATTGTGTGTGTGTGTGTGTGTGTGAGAGAGAGAGAGAGAGAGAGAGAGAGAGAGAGAGAGAGAGAGAGAGAGAGAGAGAGAGAGAGAGAGAGAGAGAGAGAGAGAGAGATCGTGTCATCAGGACTTGGGATTTTTCTGCAGCAGAAGTTTGAGGCAGAGTTAAAGTATTTTTTTTATTCTGAATCTGATAGCAGCCTGCACCTAACATTACCATGGCAACCTGAACATCTAACACAGTCATCATCTTCATTTTATGTTCAGATGTTTTATAAGATTTGTTCGAAACTTTCCAGAAGTTAGAAACAAATGTAGCTCCGGGGACTTTTAGTTCCAACTTTTTAGATCTTCAGGAGAGATACGATAAACTGTTAAAATCACACAAACTTTTAAGCGGTGATGTGTCTACCAGTGATTTTTTTTTTGGGTCCCAGCGCTGCTCGCTTTCTCAGTCCTTTCCATTTATAGCCTACTGGTGTGTAGCACTGTTGATTTGACAGGAAGTACTCACCTACTTCTTGTTCTCATTACTGTTGTGGTCTGTTGTTTCTGGTGAGTCTGTTTCAGTTCAGAGTCTCAGTGCTAATGCCGAGGAGTCATTGAGGGCTTAAACATTGATTGATGACAATCTGCTGTTGCACTCATTCACGTTTGTAATTACAATTGCTTCATTTTTGTTGTTGCCCTATCATCAGCTCATCTCATCTTCCTCTTTGACTATTCTTTTTCCACACCTGATAACTGTTAATCTTCCTTTCTCAGTTCCCTCCTGAAGATCTCTGTACACTCATCTGATCTGAACGAAGTTGCACCTGAGTCTTCTCTTAGCGAACTGGAGCTCTAAATCAATAATCCATTTTCCCGAGCTAAATTGTGAGGACCAACGTTTGTAAACAGGCGTTTGATTGAACTGAAGTGGAACAATTTGGTGTGAGAAATCATGTGAGTTGAAGATGGTTATAGCAGGGAGCAGACATAAAATCCATAAGAATGTGCGTTAATAAATGAAGAACTGTTGGTGCAAAGGTCTATCTGACCTCGTTTTGGTTCAGTAGATCTTTATCAAGTTTCAACAGACTGTTATTGACATTCAAAGATGATCAATCTTTATTATCTCATCTGTTTTAGAAGGAAATTCAACCAAAAATTTTCATTATTATTATTTTTATTATTATTATTATTAGTAGTAGTAGTAGTTGTTGTAGTATCCTCCCTGCCTCCCCTAAAGATGACATTGGCTTATTGCACTATAATTTATTGTTGTCTTTAACTTGGACTTTTTTCTTATTCTGGGAGAATAGTTTTTATGATTATCTTGTCTTTATTAATTGGCTCGGTCTCGCACTAGGTTTTTGTTTACCTATGGTTCGCAAGGACTTCTTCGGAAAGCAGAAATTCCTGAGCATATGGCCAGCGCAAAAAACGCGTGGAAAATTGATGGTGCCCATGTGAGCTGTGTTGCTTTTGGGTACTCTGAGTCTGAGCCACATCATTTTATTAATTTGCTTCCTGTTCTCTCACTGACATGGCTGTGTGTGTCCTCATAACCACTGCCACAGCAGAGGAGGACGGGGTGAGGGCCACACTGACACTGCTCTCCTTACTCCTCTGCTCTCCTCTTACCGTCTGCCACCACACTGGAGCAGGAGCTCCGTGCTACAGACAG